ATATTTTTGTTTCCCACTCTTTGATCATTCTAAATGCTAATTTTAATGTAACTTCTAACTGGAATAATATTAATTTTAAATTTCCAGGCTAACTTATTTCTTAAGTGCCTTATTGGTTGTAATTTAAAATTTTTATATTATTATATATTTAAAAATTTAAGAAATAAAATGTAAAATTGGATAAATTTTTTGTTAGTATTGGACAAAATAATTTGTGATTATGATTTTATTCAATAAATAATATATAATAGAAATTATACAAATAATATGTTAAAATATTAAGTTTTATTATATATAAATATTTTTCTATAAATAATGACATTATTATTGTTCATATAAAATTAATAATTTTTTTATTTTCCCTACTTTCTCTAGTTCAACTAAGTACAAGTAAACAAAAAATATTTCTCCAATAATACTTTTCTTTTGAGAAATGACTTTTTTTTTGGAAAAATGACTGAAATTTTGTTTGTTAATGAAGTCCAACAACTAAAAATAAACTACCACTTTTTTTTTTGAAAAATGAGTAATTACTCCAGGAAAATATCGATAATGGAATTGTAAATTATAATTTTTTTTTTTGCAAATTTTTTCTAGAAGGCAAAAAAGTCTTTTCACATTAAAAATAATTTATATACAAGTCCTTATTAGACTAAAAATTAATTATTATATTTTACAGTACTTAATTATCATTGTATATTTTAGAGATATTTTTCTATCATTCTCTTGGATTAATTTTCCATCCTAAACAAAAATTTAATATATTGGACTTTTATACAATTACTAATTAAATGCATCACTTTCCTGGGCCGACCAATCAGAAGATTCAAGCCGCTTGACCATTGTAATAGGGAGTGAGTGTTTGTCTGCCTCCGCTAATGGTACTTCCCATCAACATTTTGGATCTAAGCCGTTGGTTTACGATAAAAGGCTTTAAAAAGAAATTCAAATTAATATTATCAAATGTTTTTTGATATTTTTAAAAATCTCTGTATCATTGATACATGTAAAAAATAGAGAAGATGAAACCTACTAAATATATATTTTTTTCAAATAAATTATAAATGATTTATAATTTTTTTAAACTTTTATTTGAATCTTTATTTAATTACTAGTTTATGATTGTGAAGGAATTTATTTTATAATTTTATATATTATTTAAAATATCAAATTAATTATGCTGTTTTGGTTCAATTGCACCTTACTCCTTTTGGTTCAGGAGCACATTCTGTTCTCATCAGTCATGACCTCTAATATAATCTTAGGACATTTAAAGAAAAATTTGGAAGATCAAGTTAAATGTTTTTTATTGTTATTTTTATTTTTACTTTATATTTATTAAAATACATTTTTAAGAAATGTAATATATAAATATGTTTATTACTGATTTGGATTGTCTAAATTATTTTAATATTAAATTTTTTTATTATCTTTATAAATTGACTATCTAGATTTATTATGAATGATATTGATTTAACATTAATTTTTTATAATTTTAATAATTTTTTTGAAAAATTAAATATTAAAAATAAAGATAAATTTTTAACTAGCTCTTCCCAATTTTTTTTAAATACAATTCAGTAAATGTTTTGAATCTGAACAGTGCATAGCAAATTTGTAAAGTCAATTTACAAAAATTATAAAAGATTAAATTTGGATCGATCAAACAAAATATGAATTGTGCATATTAATAATTAAAAAATTTATTAAAAATTTAATCAATTTTTATTTTAGTAAATATAAAATCACTTAAATGTGGAATGTTTAGATTACATCTGGACAATTTAATTAGATGAGGTGATGAGTTGTTGAACCTCTTTAGTTCTTATCATAAAACATTTTCAACTACCTTACTAAAATTAAGGAGAGAAATTAGGTTATTAACTTTATTTAAAAATATAAAAAATTAATGAATTAAATACAAGTAATATTAGAAAAATGAAATTAATAGCACAATGCTCTGGCTTATACTAGGGAACAAAAAACGCTGAAGAGGGAAGCAATTGAAGTTACAAGCAACGGTGAAAATAAACCAAGTTAGATTAGATTTTGGCCAGATTGGCCTAAGTCTATAACAAAGGTATAAAGTTTGAGCCTAGTTTTAAATTTATATGCAAGTTTCTTGATAAATTTAAACTTAATCTTGTGATAGGCCTAATTTGAGCTGAAGTGTTAAGGCCTACTTTAAATCTAGGCCTTTAAAAAAGTTACTTCCTTTGTTTGAAAATTTAAAATTTTTTTAGCTAAATTTTATTTTTAATAAAATAATTATTTAATTTTAAATTAACCTTATTTTTTTATATTTATCCTATTAAATACCCTACAATAAATATAAAGTTATTATTAATAGAAAATTTTTTGTAAAAAAGCAATTATTACATTTTAAAAGACTAAAAATACCTTACATTTTTGAATATTTAACTCCTTAAAAATATCTTATATTTTTTAACGGAGTGAGTATTTAAAAGTGTATCTAAATTTTGATTTGAAAATTTTTATGTAGGCTTCAAATTTATCAAAACCTATATTTTTATATAAGTTTTAAAATCCATATATTTTATATTTTAAATACAAAATAAAATTATAGGATAAAACATATTTAAAGAGTAAAATTTAAATACAAAATAATATATAAATATATAAATTTGAATATAAAATATATAAATATATATCTGAATAAACCAAGTTTAGATTTTAAAATTTTAAATAAGTTTTAGACCTAATCTTTTTATAATAGGCTCGCCACTCAACCAATCATTTATTCCTCCCCTTTTTTATCCCTCCACTACTCCAATTTTTACTATCATATTATTTTATTAAATAATTTTTTAAATTATAAAGTTAATAAAGAGTGAGGATCGAGAGAGTAGAGAGGAAAGGAAAGGCTCTTGGTCCCTCAGCCAGACCTGAACGAGGCATCCCTTGTCACGGCTGTTACCTGTTAATTACTTACGGAGCAGCCTCACTGCAGTATGTAGCAGCCAGTAAATGAAACCCACCTGTCAGTGGGACCCATTCAAGACCTTAATCTCTCCGTGCAGCCCCTGTGGCGCGCCGCACATTCCCCCCCCTCCTTTTTGCCGCACGTTATCTATTCAATCCAATGCAAACACCAGAGCCGTGTAAAAGTTTTCTAATCTTATTCAATCTAATTTAATTTGAAAAGTTAATCTGTTTGATTTTGTTAAAAACTAATTGTTTAAAATTAAAAAAATTAAAAAAATCATATTATTTTTTTAAATTGAATTGAATAAAAGATTGGACATCTGAACCATTAGTCTAATCTTATTAAATTTATTTAATATAATTATAATTAATTTATTAATTATTTATCATAATAAATTAAGACTATTAATAATTTAATAAGTTTGATTCCTCATGAAATCGCACATTCAAACTAATAATTTAATAATCTGAATTACTTAAAATATAATTAAAATATTTTTTTTGTTGTTAAAAATTATTGTAGATTTATTATGATTATAAATTTTTTATCATTTTAATTGAATTTATTAAATTAAAATAAATTATTACCTCTCATATAAAAAAAATTAAATGAGTATTGAATTTATAAGAATAGTTTTTCTATCACACGAACTAAATTTAGTTTTTTTTAGGTATTATTAAATTAGATTGGACTATAAATTATCTAATTTAATTCTTTTCATAAAAAAATCACATTTTAAATTAGATTAAAGTACAATTTCATTCAGTTCTTTATACAGCCTAAGCAAGCATTCAATGACTCTAGCTTACAAACGTACTAAAAATATAAAATAGGGTTTTCGGTGCTCAGCTGCGAGTCACTCTCTGGTGAGCATCGAGGACGTGGTGTTCATTAGAATGACAAGATTTGAATTATTGAATTTTAATCTAAATAGTTTAAATTGAAAGCATTTATTTTATATTTATTAAAATAAAAATTTTAATAATTTTAATAATTTATTTTATTATTAATCTGATCTTTGAAGGGTCCAAATTTAATATTTAAATTTTCATAAATTGACTATACAATTTTACTTTGAACAATTTATATTTAAAAGTTTTAACTTATAAGTTTTAAAAAAATTCTAATTAGAAGATTATTTTAATTTTTAACATTATATTTATTAAAATTAAAAAATATAATTATCAGTCTCTACAATTTTATCAAATTTTATTTTTAATTTTTATAATTTTTTAATATTTTCAGTCTCTATAATTTTAGAAAGAATGGTGACTTTGTTATTTAAATTCTTATAATTCCAGTACTTTTAATCTCTATAAAGACTAAGATACTGAAAAGACTGCATAAATTAAAAATAAAATTTAATAAAATGATAGGGACTAATAATTATATTTTCTCAAATACAAATTTATAAAAAAATATAAAAATTTTAATATTAAATCCAAACAATTGAAAGTATATCTTAGTAGTTAATATATAAAAATTATAAAAAAATTAATATTAAATTAGACATTTCAAATTAAATCTTGATTATATTAATGATTACAACAAATTTATTAAAAAAATTTATAAATTTTTATTTTAATTAATATAAAATAAAATTATAAAATGAATACTTTAAATTTCAGTTATATGAATTGTCAAAATTCATCCTCCTCATGAGAAATATGGTGCTCATCGTCCCAATGAATACTATAACTAATATATTTTCTTCAATTCAAAATATAAGTGATTTTTTTAAAAAAATTATAGATCAATAAAATTTCAATTCTCATAAAAATATATTTTTTCTTTTTATATTTTAGCATCAATCACCAATTCACTTTTGAATATAAAATAACTTTATACAAAAATTTATATTAATTAATATAAAAAATGAAACAGAAATTTTTTATATTTATTAAATTATTTATGTTTTCAACTAAATTACTTTTCACACTTGAAAACCAAGAGTCCAAGACCTGTTAGTCTCATCTGACACGGACAACGACGTTGACTAAAATCTTGACAATGGTTCCTTCTGTATCTCCATTTTTCTCCATCACTTCCACCTCCTCCATATAAACCCCTCACTTCTCACGCAGCGTTCAGTTCAAAGCTCAACATTCAGAACCAGAAAACCCCAAAACGAAGATGATGAAAATCAATTCAAATCACGTCTCTCTTCTCTTCTTCTTCTTCTTTGTTTTCTTTTTCCTCCTTCATCCTTCACAAGCTCAGAACAAGATAGAGCCCAACACCACCGGCTATGAGTGCCCCGCCAACCAGACCACCGGCTCCGGCTACCCCTGCCGGACTTACGCATTCTACCAAGCCTCAGCTCCTAATTTCCTCGACCTCGCCTCCATTGGTGATCTCTTCTCCGTTAGCCGCCCCATGATTGCAGATCCAAGCAACATTTCTTCTCCTAATTCCACTTTAGCCCCAAACCAGCCTCTCTTCGTTCCCTTAGCTTGCTCCTGCAACTTCATCAACTCAAGCTTCGGTGCCATCTCTTACGCCAATCTCTCCCACACCATCAAGAAAGGAGACACGTTCTACCAACTCTCCACGTTTACCTACAGGAACCTCACCACTTACCAGTCCGTCGAAGTCGTGAACCCTACTCTCATCCCGACGAATTTGACGATCGGCATTGACGTCATGTTCCCGGTGTTCTGCAAGTGCCCTAACACGACGCAATTGCGAAATGGAGAGAACATCATGATTTCCTACGTCGTTCAACCGTCTGATAACATATCGTCGATTGCTACCATGTTTGGATCGAAACCGCAATCAATAATCGATGTTAACCGCAAAGGTTTCCGAGAATTTGATACTATCTTCGTTCCGGTGTCGCAATTGCCGGTGTTGCCACAGATTCAGGTTAATACTTCCGCGCCGCCGGCTTCGTCTCCTGCTGCGTCACCTGTAACTTCCAGCGACAGAACAAGAACTGTGAGAGGATTGGCGATCGGGTTAGGGATTGTAGGGTTAGTGTTGATTCTGGTTTTGGGGTTGTGGGTTTACAGAGAGGCTCGGTTCAAAGACAGGTTGGGGATGATGGTGGTGGCCGGAGATGAGGAGAAGCAGAAACAGAGCTTTGTGAAGGAGACAAAGGGATCGAAGGAAGCGGAAGCGAGATTGATGGCGAACGTGTCGGATTGCTTAGATAAGTATAGGGTTTTTGGGTATGAAGAATTGAGAGCAGCAACAAATGGGTTTGATCAGAGTTGCTTGATTCTTGGGTCTGTGTACAAAGGCACTATTGACGGAGAGGTCTATGCGATCAAGAAGATGAACTGGAATGCTTACGAGGAGCTCAAGATCTTACAGAAGGTAATTAAAATTAAAATTAATTTTAAAATTGTTTGTTTCTAATATTAATCATTTTAGTGTCAGCAATATAATTAAAGTACTAAAAAAATTACTAAAATATTTGGGTGGAAAAAAGCAAGCAGTCTAGGATGAAAATTGAGAAAATCAAAAATCATATTTAAAAAATATAAGGTGTTTTTAAACTTTTAAAATGTAATCATTATCTTTTTATCAAAAGTGTTCTTATTGATAGTAACTTTATATTTATTATAGAGTATTTAATATAAGTAAATATAGGAAGATATGGTTAGTTTGAAAGTAGATAACTACTTTATTGAGGGGTGAGATTCGGTTAAAAATGCATTATATTTTTTAAAAAAGGGAGTAAGTTTTAATTTTACAAAATTACTACGTGTTCTATATGCTATTTTAATTTAATAAAGTTAGAAAAAGCTACTTGCTATATGAGGTCAAAATCATGTTAAAAATATCTTTAAGGCAAGCAAATGCAATTTCTAGTAAAATATGAGATGAAAAATTATACATTCACTAGAAGCTGAGGTTTACTGGCTTAGTGTAGAAGTAGAGAAGTTCCCTTGTATATAAGAAATAACAGAGTTCCCTTACTAGAACTAAATTTTTTTAAGAATCAATTTCATTATAAATATATTAATATAAATATATAAAAATTCATATTATCTATAATATTTTTACTTTTTATTTTTCCAGTATATTTTTTTATTGATAATAAACCATATGGTATTTAACGTTATGAAGTAATTTAAATTTAATTTGAAGCCCCAAATGCAAAAAACTCTCTTACTTGGTTTTTGTTAATTATACAATTTCTGTTTTTTAAATTTCATACAATACCAAGAAATATATCTAAAAATTAAAAAGGATCAAGTGAAGTGACTTGCTCCTAATGGGTCAACGGAGTAGTTTGCTTTTCAGTTGTAATCAAATGGCATAGTATGATAGTATATGCCAGAATTTGCATAACTAAAAATTGTATTTTCTGAGTTATGTCACTCTGTTCCTCTCCTTTATTTTCGGTGTGCTCCACCAAACCAAGGGAATAAACCTGTGGATTCCCTGATATCCGAAATTTTTAATAATTCCCATGTTACCTGACACAAAACAAAAATTAATCAAATTGATATAGAAACAAGGCAGGGTCAGAAAATGACAAAATTGCCACTTGTTATCCATGGTTCTGGCCTATTAGATTCATAAATATCTATAACAGTGCATCACTTATCAAAGCGGTGGTTCCATGTTATACCTAGTGAGGTCTTTTCAAGATATGCTTAGATAATAAGATTAAGAAAGAGGGTCAAGTATTTAATTTAATGGCATAATGAAGAAGGTCTTCCCAACTTTTGTCTTATTCGATTACATTAAGGTTTTTTTCTGATAGAGCCGTGGGCTAGGTTAGCTTAAAGGCATAGTAAGAGACAAAAACCACCTCTTGTTTGTTCTTTAATGTTTTATATATGACAGCTCTTGGCTAAAATATCAGCAAATGAGAAGGCTCATAATAGAGTAACAGCATTAGTGATTGTAGGCTTCTCTCCTAGAAGAATCATTCTTTATTTTGATACATGACTTTTCATTCTTTGCTAAATTAGTAACTCTCAAGCAAATGACTAACAATGCACAATTCTTTTATTATATATGATGAAGGTGAACCATGGGAATTTGGTGAAGTTGGAGGGCTTTTGCATTGACGACGATGAAGCAAACTGCTTTCTTGTCTATGAATATGTTGAAAACGGATCACTCTACTCGTGGCTACATGAAGACCGAACCGAACAGTTGAATTGGAAGATGAGGCTACACGTAGCCATCGATGTAGCCAATGGCTTGCAATACATCCACGAGCACACGAGGCCAAAGGTTGTGCACAAAGACATCAAGAGTAGCAACATCCTGTTAGATTCATACATGAGAGCCAAGATAGCTAATTTTGGGCTTGCAAAGTCTGGAATGAATGCCATCACAATGCACATTGTGGGAACTCAGGGTTACATGGCTCCTGAATATCTAGCCGATGGCGTGGTCTCAACCAAGATCGATGTGTTCTCCTTTGGGGTGGTCCTGCTTGAACTAATCACAGGCAAAGAAGCCATTGATGACAGAGGGAATCCCTTGTGGACAAGTGTCGTAAGAGCTTTTGGAGCAGGTAATGAGCAAGAGAAGATCAAGAGACTAAGAGAATGGTTGGATGGTTCTCTTTTGAGAGAGACAATTTCAATGGAAAGTCTCATGGGTGTGCTCAATATTGCCATTGCTTGTGTGCATAAGGATCCAACAAAGAGGCCAAGTATGGTGGATATTGTTTATGCTCTGAGTAAAAGTGAAGATGGAAGCTTTGACACCTCAGATGATACAATAGGTTCTCCATTGGTGTCTGCGAGGTGAGTCAACTCAACTAGATGCCTTATAATCTTCTATATGCATAGAAGTAAACATGCATATGGAGAGGCAAAAATATAACTAGTCATAAATGCCCTTTAGTTCAAAGTGAATAAAGAGATACAAAAGGGGTAGGTCCTGCTTTTGATCATGTGTGGAGCCTCTTTTTTGTATCTTTCTCTGCGTTTTTTAGTTGAAATGTACTTTGAGGGTATCTAATTTTTTATTTTATTTTAATGTCATTCTCTTCATGAAAGCAAACAGTATGAATTGGGTAGGATAATCTTGGCATTATGTAAAATGTGTAGTGATATTTTAGTCTATTCAAAAAATATATTTAATAGTGTTGCCTTTTTATTCTTATTTTGTTGCCTATCCTTTTTGAGTTGTTCTTTAGAATAATTTAGTTTTTCTAATGTTAGTTGAGATAATATTATAAGTTAAATTAAACGTAATAGTGATTACATGAAACTTTTGTAAAATTTTGTTAACTAAAAATTTTAATGGAAGTCAAATTTGTTTTAACGATTCTTTTAAAATAATGGAGCAAGATTGATTTGGTTAAAATTATATAATCAATTTGTTCTTATAAATAAATTAGAGGGACAAAGGTGCTCAAATTAAAATTAACTTACCTTACCAGAATGTATCAAACGAAAATATCATACTTAAATATACAAATGTAATTAAAAAAAATGACATCAGGACTATTTTTCAAACTAAGGGCTTTATTTGGGTTCAATTGTGTTTGAGGGAACCCTAAGATTATAAATATGTAAGTATGATGTTACCTTGGAGACTTCACAAGCAAACACTAAAGCATTAAAGGCCTCGAAAGGTAACTTTAGGAGTTTAAGTAGACTTTTAATTTTAATTTTTTTTTTCTGGGTCCAAGTTTAAAGTTGAGAAATCTTACTTTTAATTATTTCATCAACCAACAAAATTGAATTTAGCAGAACTCTGTCGCAACATATGGTGTGAACAATTGGGGGAAAAAAAAACTATTGGTGAATGAAAAAGCAATTGAGATTTAAGTCCCTGTTTGATGTGATGTTTTAGCTGTTGGCTAATAACCCTCTTTCCTTTTTTTTTTTTGGAATAAAAAAACAAGGTAGTTAAACTACTTATCCCATTTTTATTTTTATTTTTTTTACTTTTTGAATTAAAAGGGTATACACTAATAGTCTTAAGAGGTTACAAGCGGGATTCACTCCATGATCTCTCATTTATTGAAAAGTTTGCATGTGACTAGGCTAAGCCATTGGCAAATTTTATAGCTTACCTTAGTAAATGCAGTGTTTTTAAAAAATATTTTCTCTTTTACATGTAACTTTTTACTGTCTTTTTTTACTTGTTATTTTGTAACCTTTTACTCTATCCATAAAAAAAATTTAAAAAGGTAAAATTGAAAAAAAAAATTAATGATTTGCCTTTTTATGTAAAGTAACTTACAAAAAGAGTCATCATTTTTTTCCCTGAAAAATGACTTACTTTCTACGTTCAAAAATGTAAGATCTTTTTAATCAAATTTAACTCCTCAATAAAATAGTTACTTATCTTTAAACTAACTTCATTTTTTATATTTATTCTTATTTAATAAGGTGTTTCACCTTACAAAAATATAAAATAATCTATTTAATAGAGGCATTTTTTTAAAAAAAGTAATGATTACACCTTAAAAGATTTAAAATGTCTTATATTTTTTAACAGAGAGAATAGATACATGACCAAAGAGAGCATTGTTTATACCTTATAAATAGTACAAAATTATATTTATACATATTATGGTAAAGACCTGGATACTTAATTTTATATACTTAATATATTTTTATCCAATCAAATTAATATTTTAATATATTCATAGTACTAAGAATAAGAGCTTATAATAAAAATAAATAATATAAAAAATCATATATATTAAATTTAATTAGAAACATGAACATTAAATATGCAAGGATGAAAAATCATAAGTTTTTTCCCTTTTATTATATATATATATATATATATATATTGGTGAATGATGATTGACAAGGTAACATTAATATTGTTAAAATGTATTTTTTTTAACATAAAAACTGGTTTTTTTGCGACATAAAACTGTTTTTCTTCTTTTGACCGAACATAAAATTGTTGAAATGGACCACCATCATTGTGATGGATTGGAGGGTTTTTGAAACCTTATGGCCTTTTTTTTTTTCCTGGTTATGAGGGCCACGCCCAAAGACCATTTGGTATTATTGTTATAATTGACCCAACTTATTTACTTCACTATTCATTACAAGGCCCAACTTACATAACCAGTAAGTCGATTAATTTAAGGAAAAATAGAAATTAAGAACCATTGAAAAAAATTTATATAAGTTAATAACTAATTGTTATCAAAATTTAAATAAATTGTTATTAATTTATTGTTAAAACTTAAATGAATACTTATTGATAAAATATTAACTTAAATCAACAAGTATCCATTCAAGTTTTGACAACAAGTGATCCTTAATTGATATAAATTTCTTTCAATGGTTCTTGAATGATATTTTTCCTTAATTTTACTTCTCTTTTTTTCTTAAAAAATAATTTCTAAGTTTCTAGGTTTTTTAATATCAATATATCAATATTTATAATTATAAATAAGAAAAACACAATTATTGGTTCTTTTAATAGGTCTTTGTAAATTTTTTTCATTGTTTCAAATTCCTTTAGTTTATTCCATGTACAACATTAGTCCCTCTATATTTTAATATGTCTAAAAGAATGATAAGATGGCACTAGCAAAATTAAATATTATGACATGCAACTAACGTTGTTAATATTTGTGCTAAGGTAGTACTATGCTTCAACGGATTGAAACCTGAAATTGGAAACATGAAACAAAACCATGGACAATGCTATTAATTTGATGAATCATAATTCCATTCAATACAGATTAACAATATTAGTCACAAATTAACATATTTAACATTATTAATGTCACCTCATCCTGCTTTTGGGCACATTCAAAAACATTAGAGGGTTTAATATTGTAGATGAAATTAATTAGAAAGACTTGGAGCAACCAAAAAAAAAAAAACACATATACCAAAACACGCTAAAATTATAGAGACTAATAACTATGTTTTTCCTTATAAATATAATCAAATATATAGTATGCTTCACTATTTGTAAGTCATGATTTACTATGAATTTACCCATTAAAAATAGTTAATTAGTTAAGAGAAAAATTTCCTTTATACCAATCAAAATCATTATGAGCAAAGACTCAAGGAATAATGAGCAAGAGCCAAATATGTGGGTTGAGGATGGTATGTCAAATGAAGGCTCAAATCTAATAATCAATGATCTAATAAAATGTGAAGACCAAGCTTAGACCAAATCTAGTTGTTTTATTTGATTCTTTAGTACACTATGTGACTAAATATATCATGTGTAGTGGCATATGATTTCCATAATGATGTTACATAATTGTAAGAATTTGGGATTTATTTAGTTGTCGAGATTCCTTTTTTTTTATTTGAATCAAACTAATGGTTTTTGGTTTTTATTATAAGCTCATTAAGGTTATTTTAGTTGCCTATAAATAATGCTTTCTTCCTACCAATCTATAAGACACTTATAAAAAAAATTAATGTCTCAAAATATGTAACACTTTGACAAAAAATTTTTTATTAATTATACTTGTTCTAATATTATCATTATCTCCTTATTAAATGTTATCTCTCCATTTAATATTTCACAAATAAGATTATATTAAATGAAGGAAATTTTTAAAAATTTATATTCAAGTTTTTTAAAAAAATTAGCTTGTAAAATGTATTTAATAAAATTTATTAGTATGAATAATTTTAAAATAAATAGTGTATTATAAACTGAAATAAATTTAAAATTTTAATTTGTAATTTTAAAATGATAAATCTGTTTATTTTTGAGACTAGTAATAAGATTATTTTCACTTTATATTATGTATCTATTGAAATAAAAAAATTATTTGAAATATAAAAATCAAATTAAATTAAATCTTGACCGTCTAAAATCAATCTGAATGGTCCAAATTGATTATGATCCTCATGCTCAACTTTTTAATGAGCACGTGCTTCATATCCTAGGGTCATATTAGAATGTAGTCCTTCCAGGAAGAACCTATGTATGAGAAACTCAGGCTCTTAAGTAGTAGCTTGTATTTTTTTAAGTTATTTTTAAAAAGAAATTAATGATCTTTTTGATAAATCACTTTCAAGAAATAATGTATCATTAATTATTTTTTTTAGATTTTAACTCTTTCACAATTTTTTTATAAGGAGAATTTCATATTATGACCATGGATGTGATTTAATTAAAAATCGGCACAAAATAAATGTAAAAATAGAATACAGCATGTTTGGATTTAAATGAAAATAATTTTCTAAGAAAAATGTCTGAAACGCCCTTAATAGGAATGAAATTGATTAACATGAGTTTTTAAATTCCTTATATTATTTACTAAATTTGTAACATTATTTTGTAAATTTATCACACCCAATTAAATGTAGAACTTATTAAATTGTTATTTTAATTTGTACTCGTTAAAAACGTTACATTACTTATAAATTCTCATGTTACTTGATAATTCTATTTTGTTACTTGTTAATTATTTAACCTATATTAAATTCATTACAACTTGTTAAATTATTAACTTGTAAAATTTATAACGTTACTTGGCACCGCAAGTAATGTTGTAAGGGATTTAACATGACTTATTAAATTAACTTAATTAGCAACTAATGTAAGAGATTTAACAATTCATATTACACATTTAATAAGTCATGTTAAGCAATGATTCACATACTCTTTTTTTCATTTCTATGAAGGGCACTTTAGTCATTTTCTTTACAATTTTTTTTTCATTTCAATCCCTTGCAATCTACAGTGTATTTTAAGATTTATTTGGTCTTGATTTTTAATTAAGTCACATCCATGGTTCTAATATGAAATTATCACTTTTTATAAGTGGAGTAAAATGTTATATATGAAAAAAAAATGCTTTTAAAGACAATGCATTTAATAAGGATAAATTAAAAAATTTTATTTTTTAAAATAATATCAATAATTTAATTATATCTCCTTAATTTTAAGATAATTATAAGTAACTTATATATAGAACTATTGGGCCATCCTCCAAAGAACATGAGGTTTAAATTTTGTTGCATGTATAGAGATTCTGTTGGTGAATAATTCGGTACAATTGTGAATGCTCAAAGCCATCCTTACTATGTGGCAATCATGATTTTGCATGTGATATCAAAAAGTGGGTTGGGTTGCTACTTTCACTTATGGTTACGTTCCTTCAATAAGATTCCATATTTTGGGTAGGAATCATGATTCCACCCATA